GAGAAACAATGATTGGCACTCAGTTCTGGGCACTCTAAAGGGCATTTGAGTTCATGCTGGTTTACTAATGTCGGAATGAACATATATGTGAAAGAGTAATTTAGTGACTAAGTGAATTGTTTTCTCTGTCACATGCCACAGGTATACTGGGCCACACAGCTAAAGAATTCCTGTATAGAACTTAGTACAATATCACACATGCCTGGGCCTTTATTAAAGCAGCTTCATCATAAGACATTGCTCAGGATGACATTCTTGAGAGTCGAGGTCTAATCACTTGAATTGCTTATTGTTATATTTTATGCGACTACAGCAAGTTGTAATGGAGTATTAATTTTTTAGATCTGAGGAGATGAACTAATGGTAGTCTATGGCGGAAGGGAGCTTAACGCAATCTTCTCTTCGCATTTCCATGCATCACTAGTTCCTTTTGCATCTTAGTCTGTGAGATAGTTAAAGTTTATTGGGCCAACCTGGCCAATAAACACATGCGGGGTTAGTTGACGGGCAGAGAGATAAATGGCTCAGTGAGCCTCACCTTTCTGGTTCTCGGGTCTCTTGCTCTCTGATGGTCAGACCAGGGTAAAGCTGCCTTAGTCAGTTCCCTGCTTTAGCTGGCAAGGCTCACTTCCTGCAAGACATCCCTGAGGAAAAGCCATATGGATCTACCCTGATGCAGCCCTGGGTGCTGGAGCACCCGTATGGAGACCCCCTGCCAGTGCTGAGATGCTTACATGTTCACTGACTCGGCTTTCCTCCTGTAGTCGGTGTCATTGCATGTGTTTTGTGAGAAGGAGGAGGACTTTGTGGATTGGTGTCAGACATATGGGCTAATGTTGGACTTGTGGGCTTGGGATGTTTTGGCTTGGGATGTTTTCTTGATGTGCACTTACCCTTTATATAAAACTCTCTCTTCTACATATGAGTTTCTGTGGCTTTGTTTCTCTAATGTACCCAGACTAACACAGTCCTCAATTGGTTTGCTTTCAGAGCATCTCATGGTGATAGACCCTTCTTTATATCACTCACCAATTTTGCTGATGTGCACATGATACCTGCGTGAACAAGACATTGGGAAGTAACGTTAACAATCAACTCTATTGTTGAGTTCCGAGATCTTCCATAGTCATCCCTGAACTCCTAGGAAAAGACAGCTGATTTGGGTTGGGACTTAAGACCAGGTGAACTTGGATAGCTCTCTCCATGCTTCAAGACACTTATCTGTTCTTCAGTGAGCAACGTAATCCACCGCACTTCCCTCTTCCTTCTGTTACTTCTGCCAGATTCAAGACCTAAGACAAGGTACAGAGTTTTTGCCAGAACTTCCCCCAAATCCTAAATCTTGATGGAAGGCACAGGGAGCAAGCGCAGCTGTTTCCTCACGCAGTTGATTCCCAAAGACCACTGGACACATGTGGATGGCAGTCTCTCTGGTTCAGAAGCTAGCACCTTCTCATCAAACCCTTTGGGGGTTCTGAGAGTTTGGAGATTTTTTTCCTATAAACTGTCTCCCTCCTCCCTTGATAACTTGGATTTTCCAGATTCCTCTATCCACGTCATGTCCAGTACCTGCTCCAGATGTCAGCTCCATCGTGCTATTCTCTGGACTGTGGAACCGACCCAAGTGGGCCCACTCTGGCATTTCTGTTTTTTTTTAATTATGAACGTCCCTCTGCCTAAAATACTCTCACTATTCACCTTTCATACCAATTCTACTTTATACGTTAAAAAACAAAAACAACAACAGAATGTGAAGCCCGTGAAGGCAGGAACATTCTTCAATTTGTCAGTGAAGTTTCATAGCCCTTAACCCACAGACTTATGAGCTAAGGAAACTGGAAAATCTTTATTGAATCAAATTAACAACATTTAACCTTAAAATATTATTTCATTGTAAATTGTTCACTGTGAATTTAGTGGGGGTTTACATTTTAGAGTTGATTCGAATCAAATGGAGACATGTCTATAAAGTGGGTTTGAATCACAAGCCCCATGAAAATCTATGCAGTTATCACGTATTTCCCACTTGGACTTCATACCTTTGACACAAGTCCCATCTATTTACCTTGAGTTACTTGGCTGAGTGAGGTGATTCTCCGGACACCGGGGTGGGAAAGATACACGGATGAATAACACACAGCCCCTGGCTTTAGGGAGCTCACATTTCAGGAGGAAATGGCTTTCTGAGTTTTAATCAGTTTTTCAGTCATCAAAGAACCTTTATGATGCTACCGAAGAATTCATCCATTCTACCTACAGGGGACAGGAGGCAATTAAGCCTAAGTGAGTGGAATTGTGGAAAATAATTAAAAGGTAAAAGGAATTTCAGGTGGAGGGAGGAGCCTGAACTCTAGTCAGATGGTTGGATGTTGCATGGGGTGTTTGGAATAAGATTGCGAGTGTAAGCACAGAGGGGAACACAAAGAGAGGCCGTGAGGAGCAAGGGAAACCACACTCTCCTAGAGATCATCTGACTGGCTTGGCTACTAGACAGCTCTTGGCGGCCAAATTTCTCTAGACAAGAAGAATACTTCATCAGAGTACATGTATGTAGAGGAAGAAACCAGCATTGGTCATAAAGTGGTCTCAAAGACATTAAAAAGGGAATTTCTTTCCTCCCTCCCTCTCTCCGTTCTTTCTCTGAGGACTAATTATATGTCAGGTAGTATGCTAAGATTTAAAAGGTACAGACTTGAACAAAACATACCCTTTGCACCAACAATTATCCTCAAGAAAGCACGCAGTCTGGTGGCCGAGTCAAACAAGAAAAGAGCAACACACAGTGAGAGAAACAAAGAACTTGACATATGGAAACACGGAAGGCTATGCGAGCTCAGGGGCTGACCCCTTATTTCAGCCAGGCCTGAAATGCCTATAGGGAGGAAAAGTCTTTCAGTCGAATATTTTAAAAAAAATAAAAAGGAGCCTCTTCTCCCAATAGAATTGGGCAGAATGCATTTCAGGAGGAAGTCCTGGCCTGAGAACAGAATAGAGACATGGGCAGGCACTGGGACTTCTGGGAACTGCAAGTGGCTGGAATGGCAAATTGAGGCAGAAGATGAAGCGACAGAAGTGAGCACAGTTTTCTGCAGATAATTACATTTATGAATTTGGTAGGCAGATTTATGAATTTATGAATTTGGTAGGCAGATTTTTTGTTGTGAAAGCATACTTTGGGAAGAATGGGACATTTTTGGTGTAGGGTTCGAATCCATGTTTTCCATGTTGCAATTCTTGCTTTCTGGTTCAATTCCCAGTCAATACATCTCATATGCAGCCACTCCTGCCTGCTAATAGAGGCTTGCATGTTGTGAAAATGCAGAAACGCTTTCATCAGCGCTTCAGAACTAAGGAAATTAAGCCAGACTAGTAAGCAAACCCTGGTGATCTACTTTCAAAAACCATCCAATGATAACCCGATAGATCACAACAGTTTGATGCAACTGATCATGGGACTGGCTCCGGACGAGGTAATATTTCATTCATTTGTGCCTGGCATCCCGATGAGTTGAGGACCAGCTTGTAGGCAGCTGACAACACCGACACCACTTGGTAGGAATCCTGTTTAAACCTCGTCACATCAGGTGTGCTCCTTAGGCCAGAAATTTGAGTAACACCTGACCACAGTGCCATTGGTAAATGGCAGGCCCCACTCCAGACCTGCTGAGCCTTGAGGCACTGGCTGAGTCATGGGCTCCACGGTTTAAATATTGGTCCTGCCATCTCTGAGCCATGTGGCCTTGGCCCTGTCACTGCTCATCTCTAGGCATTGGTATCAGCAGTCTAACTTTAAACAGGTGGAATTAACACATTTTAGTAACCTTTCCAGCTTTAAAGTGTGTGTGGACTATTGTTTGTGTGCGTGTGTTTAATGCCAGAGGATACTGGTATCTTTAAGACTGGGAAGCACATACTTACTCTTGGGATGACTCACTGTTTAGAATTATGTCTTCAAGCCTACACATGATGGAGAAGAAGAGCACAAGCCATAAACTCACATATGAAGGCAGATCCATTGGGAAACCAGGTTAAAACCTTGGGCACTGACCATTCGGCCAACTGGGATTGCAAGGGGGGAAGCCAGAAACCCTACATAGGGTTTCTAAGACTGAAAACCTTTAGAAGCTCAAACAGCCTAATCTTGCTCCTTGCGAATGGCTGGTAGTTTTGAATGGTCAACCTTTTGGTCAGCAACCCAATGTTTAACCCACCGTGCCACTAGAGTTCTTTTCATTAAAGAGATCTCTGTTCATTGAAGTGTCTGTCTGAACTCTTCTGCAAATTTGACTTAAAGACACACTTAGAAAGGGATCTTCCTCTAAGCCATGGGCTGCTTGTGTCTCCCATTTATTGAGCAACCCTGATGAACCGGACATTGTCCAGTTACTGATTGTTTGTAGGCATACTTATGTGCTGTGACTGATTCAGCTTCACACCCATCCAGTATTGATTCAAAGCAAGTCACATGACTCTTTTGGTTTCCCAATGCATATAAAAGTGATTTTATAGCTTTTTATATTTACACTATACTCTATGGAGGAGCTCTAGTGGAACTGCCGGTTATATGTTGAAAAGTTAACTGCATGCAATGTGAATAATTCTAATCCACCAGCTGCTAGGTGCTACTTTCATTCTTGCTTTCAACAGAAGAAAATGGATAGTCAGAGAGACAGTCTCTTGCTAAAGAGCAGCCAGCTACTGAGAGGCAGAGACAGAACCAGAGCCTGGATGGAGCAGACCCTTCACTTTGCTAGAGTTGGACTAGTTAGTCCCTGTGGTTGCCCTGACTCTGTGAGTCTGTGGTCCTCGAAGCATTTCTTCCATCTTTGGGAACCTGCAGTCTATTGGATTGGAAAACTTTTACACAAAATATCTGATTTCTTTTCTAGTCTGTCCCTGGGTCCCCAAGTGAGGCTCCTCGTCGATTGGTTGATTGCTCAGAATTCATGATCATAGCCCACACATTCCTCCCTCTCCCTCCAGCCGGTCACACAGCTCACCAGTTTCTGGGTCACATAGCTGTTCGCAGGCATCTGTCGTCCTTTGTCCACACAGGTCCCTCACCCATGGCGAGGTGGCATTGATCTGGTAATATAAGGAGAGCTTGGCCGGGTTCAACCAGTCAGAGATGTCCAGGTAGCTGCCTTCGCTTACCACGAAGCTGCTTCCTGTGGGTGAACAGAGAGAAAGACAGCTACTCCCTCCTCGAATTTAGGGTGCAGATGTACCTTTCGGTTGGCACTGCAGACCAAAAACACAGACAGGTGGATACAGACTCCCTCCTTGCCCCCAGGTGGCCCATTCCCACTGGCTATACGCAAACACTGGAGCTTCAAAAAGTTCTCAAACAAGTCAAATGGGAAGGTAATGGAGCGTTTCCATGAACTTTTTAAAGTCCCCATGTATGAAGAGGAGTTAGCACATGGCATCCATAGTGTTAGGAGCCAGAAGAGAGGCGGATCAGGCAGGAGACAGCGCCCCCTGGAAGTTAAGAGCCAGGACCGGAGGACTGAGGCAATGTGGCTTCATCCTCACTCATTGCCTCTGGCCTCAGTTGCTTTACCTGTAAATGTGAAGATTATAAGGCCAACTCAAAGGTGTGCTATGACATAATTGTTATAGGTAAAATGCTTAGCTGATAGCTGTGCTGTTTTAATAAAGAATGATTAAATATTACCTCTTACAAGGAAAATCAAAAAGCAAATGACCATGCTACCTAGATATTGCTTCTAGAATTCCTCAAAAAACAAAACAAACCCACTGCTCTAAAGTTTATTCCCATTCATGACAACCCTGTATAGGGTGTCCAAGGCTTTGTAGGAGCCTTGGTGGCACAGTGGTTCAATATTGGGTTGCTAACCACAAGGTCAGTAGTTCAAAACCACTAGACGAGACTTTCCATTCCCGTAGAGGTACAGTCTCAGAAACCCACAGGCACAATCCTACCCTGTCCTTCTATGTTAAAGGTGTTTCCTTCACTATGAGTTAGAATTGGCTTGATGGTAATGAGAGGAGGTTTTAAGGCTTGATCAATGTTGACAGGAGATAACAGTCTCATCTTTCTTCTGTGGAAGGAGCTGTTGATGGGTTTGAGTCACCTAGCTTGTGGTTATCAGTCTGACCCTCATCCCACAGCACCACCAGGGCTCCTAATGTCCACAGGGGTCAGGTGGGCGACGGCCATGAGACATGGTCGAGTAGAAGGAAGACCACCATCCAGCCCTCCTGGATCAGCTTTCATTTTCCTTTAGAAAGAGAATGAGTTAGGAGGTGCAGTGCAATCTCCCGTTGGCAATAAGGTTGAAAACAGCACTGAGTAGAGAACACAGTGGCTCAGTGTGCGGAAACAAGAGGGCATCTTATATGTAGCTTGGGGCGATGGGCCACAGCAGGCTCCACCAAATGGCACAGCTGTGACAGGGCTGCAGACAGTTCTTGCTATGGGGGAACCAATGCTGCAGGGGACATGGTACTGCCAGTTTCCTTTGAACAAGGCAGAAAATTCAGATTTCTAGTATAGCCCACCACGTTTTAGATGATTTATGTTTGCTCTGGAAAAGTTGTCGAGGCCTAGTGACAGAATCCAGCATTATGATTTTTTGCTCTGATATGTTCCTCCCTAATCCTCACATGTGTATATATATATATGCATTTATGTACCTACATATATATAAACTACATGTATATACAATGATCTAGATACGTAATATATGCACACAACCATTTCTTTTTCTTTTTTCTTTGGTCAAGGCATGAAGCCCATCCGGAGGGGCTACATATTGCCTATCAATGATGAGCACAGATGCAGTAATAAAGCAGACAGGAACAGGAGCCCAAACAAGACCAAGCTTCACAAAGGCAGAACTGGAGAGTGGTTCTCAATTCATGGCTGCCCAAAGGACTTCAGTAGCAGGAGCTTTTAAATGGATTTTCACAATGTACATGACTTAGCTTCTCTCTCTAAGTCTGCCTCTCTCTACCTCACTATCAACCAGCAAAAACTACTGACAATTCCCCAAAGAGGGGCTAATGGTCTCATCTAATCAACAGCACAATGGTTTGGTGAAGTCCCTTTGTTGTCCAGGTCACACCAGACCTCTCTGCTCTCCTAAGCGCCTCTGAGCTCATTAGCCCACTGTGGTCAAATGGGCAATTGCTAGGGAGATGGCCAGACCTTACCTGGCCACCAGAGAATCTAAGGTAAAGAAGTTCTACGTTAAAGGTGTTTCCTTCTATGAGCTTAGCAGGCAATGGTTACCTTCTCAAATGCACATGAATACCATGGTTTATATGCACCCTATGGCGTGAGTTCTGAAGTAGAGCACAATGGGTAACACAAGCTTTGGTGAGGATGAAAGAGGAGTCCATGAGAAGCAGTAGATAGGATCAGGCTCTGAGATAAGAAAGTGACCATATTGGAAGTTGGCCCTAAAGTCCTTGGCAGCGAAAGCAAGATAGAAGTCTGCTGGATTTCATATTTCAAATGTCTGGCAAGAGAAGATATGCAAATCTAACTGCAAGCCAATCGCCCGCCTTGCTGGAACTAAGCCCAAGCAGAAACATGTCATATTGGTCCTTGTGCAAGGCATCGGACATCAGTATCAACCACATATTTTCCTTTTAAAAAGCACAGTCATGCTGTTTAAATGGATAATTCTTGTATTTATCCCTACTAAAGGCTGAGGGATGGGTATTGAATTGTGTCCCAGGGCTGATTTTGACTAATCTCATGGCTTCCGTGAAAGCTGCATCATACAGGGAGATAAAGAGAACAGAGTCAGCAAGACATAGATTCAAATGGGGGGGGGGGAACCTTATTTTTTCAGTGCTGCTGTAACAGAAATACCCCAAGTGGAGGCTTTTAAAGAACACAGTTTTGATTTCTCATAGTTCAGGAGGCCAGAAGTTCAAAGTCAGAGTTTGGCTCGCGGGTGGGGGGGTGAGGGTGGAGGGTGGGGGGAGGGGCACATGCAGGGGGAAACTTGCTTGTCTATTTCAGCTTCTAGCAGTGCGCCATCTTTGGCATTTCGGGGCTTGCAGATGCACCTACAGCCATCATCAGCAGACAGCTTCTAACCCCTCCTGCATCCACTTGCCTCCTTGTTCTCACTCAGCCCCTTACACCTCAGCGGGGATCAGGCTTTGGACCACTGGTGGACCTACTGCACCACCAGGACTCCCCATTGCATGAAATGCCTGGCCAGTAACAGATTTAGAGGTGGATCCAATAATGTCAGCCATGGATCCTCAGGGTCATATTCCATACAGGCATACAGAGGAGAGAGATGGTTATGCCTTGCTGCCTGGCCTCATTGATTGTTGTCCTTTGCCAAGATCTAGCTTAAAGTCCAACTTGTGTCTGATTTCTCTCTGACCCACCTTTCCACTTGTGTTCTTTTTAAACTCCCAAGATATATCACTTTAAGGCAGCTCTTTCCACACTTTCCAATCCATTGGCTTCAAATCGATTCTGACCCACGGCCACCCTAGGTTACAGTGTCAAACGGATGCTGAGGGTTTGCTTTAGAGAGCGATGGGGCTTTGCTTTCTACTCCCATGAACAGTTACGATCTCATGAACCCACAGGGACAGTTCTGTTCCTCCATTTAGCATCAGAATGGGCTCGACGGCAGCGGGTTAGTTTTGGGAGGGTTTTCTTGGCATGAGTCTGCATGGAAGTAGATTGTGAGGCCTTTCTGCCTCTCCATCAATTGGGTGGGGTTCACTGACCCACCTTTTGGTTAGTAGTAAAGCATAAACCCAGCTGAGCCTCCCAGGGACCTTGACCACATTCTTTTGCACTATATATATAATATATATAACTATAACTATATATATATGATCTGTGGATATATATTTGTTTTATTTCCCATGTTTGCCGATAATATTCTCCAGGGATTTGGCCTTTGCTCATTCATTTCTAGGTCTATTTCTTACACTGAGAGGCAGTTAATAAATTTTGATTCAATGAACCCATGGATGGATTGTCTTGGTAATTAAGTTTGCCACCAAGTTATATGATGTTGCTCTCTGATGTCTCTTGTGCCCTGTCACCCACCGTTAATTCCTCTACCTGTGTTTCTACTTGAGCTTCCACATCGCAAGCCTCTGAGGTGACCAGGAGACAGGACTATGAAGTTCAATTTATGGTTTGGAAGTGGGGAGACTTTTGAACTTAGAGGATTACAAAAAAATTACCCGGTGGAAATAGAGGAAAGAATTAGAAAGCAAAGGATGTTTATAGAGGTTTAAATACAGGCATGGACATAAGTAAATATATGTATATAGAATGATAGGGAAATAGAGCTATATGCTTATACCATTTTTTCTTTTTAAATCATTTTATTGGGGGCTAATACAACTCTTATCACAATCCATCCATCCATCCATTGTATCAAGCACATTTGTCCAATTGTTGCCATCATCATACTCAAAACATTTTCTTTCTACTTGAGCCCTTGTTATTAGCTCCTCATTTTTTCTCCTGCCTCCCCACCCCATGAACCCTTGACAATTTATGAATTATTATCATCTTGTCATGTCTTATACTGTCTGACATCTCCCTTCACCCACTTTTCTGTTGTATATGCCTATACTTATATGTTAAATATTAAGGCAGCAGATGGACTTTGGGCCTCAATGCAAGAACACGTTGTTCTGATAACCCAGAATTCTGTGATGCTCACCTTTCTGACAGGATCGCTGAAGACAAAATGGATGCATAAGCAAGTGTGGTGATGAAAGCTGATGGTGCCAGGCTATCAAAAGATATAGCATCTGGGGTCTTAAAGGCTTGAAGATAAACAAATGGCCATCTATCTGAAAAGCTACAAAGCCCACTGGATGAAGCACCCCAGCCTGCCTCTAGTTCTTTAATGCTTCCCCCTCCACGCCCCCGCGCCCCCCCCACTATCATGACCCCAATTCTACCTTACAAATACGGCTAGACCAGAGCATGCACACCGGCACTGATAAGAGCTCACAACCCAGGGAATCCAGGACAAATAAACCCCTCAGGACAGATAAACCCCTCAGGAAAGTAGTGATACCAGGAGTGTAGGGGAAAGGTTGAGGGAGAAAGGGGGAGCCGATCACAATGATTGACATATAACCCTCCCCTCCAAGGGGACAAACAACAGAAAAGTGGGTGAAGGGAGACAGTTGATGA